GCTGCCAAATTGACATCTCTCCCCTCAACGATTTGTTTGTGGGTCGTATCCGACACGATATCAAGGGGTGGCAAACGGTCTGGTGATACGCCGTCGCAAGAAAAGAAAGGGTACGCACCTGTCATGTCACTTGATGTCGAACTTTCTGGCGTGTCATTAAGTTTCGCCATGGCCTCTTCTAGCGCGTTCCTCTCTGTAGGAGGCTGCTGATTTGACGTGCTAGCTTGGGAGGACCTGTTCAGCTCCCGCTGAAGGAGTAGGTTGATTGTTGTTTGTAACTGTTGTAATGTGTCATTCTGCGACATGGGCGCCGCCATATTGTTTGTCGCTGCTGCGCGCGCAGCCCCAACTTCCGCCCCACTATTAATAACTTCTGAACGTGACTGTGATGCACTTTCAGTTTCTACATCTAACACGGAATCCACGTTTTCGATTGACACATTGTCTACACGCGATCTTCCTCTACGTGCAACGAGTGTAGGCCTATTTGTCGACGTTGGTGAAACCACGGCCTGTTCCGTGGGCTGGTGACGCTTAGCGTTCTCGACGTACAGTGTCCGCAGAGTGGCTTTAGACATTGAAACAGGTGTCCAAAAGCCCAGTTCTAGCAATTTCTCTCTCAGCATACCGACTGTCCAATTTGATGGGTTATGCATGTCGTATCCTGGAATACTTTGGTCAGTGGAAGGACGTTTTCCTCGACCTCTTCCCGCCATTGTGGATGCTTCCGATCGAGATGCAAAACGTGCTGTCCAAAATAACTCCGTGTCACCTGTTAACTAATATATTCCACACTTCAAACATACGTCCCAAGTCAAAAGTAATTTCTTATATCTCCTACAGAATGTTTTCTTGCACACGAGAGGTAATAAATGAAAAGTCACGAAATATTCAGACACACAAATCTTCTGCAAACAGGCTGCTGAAACTGACCCAAAACAAAGACTGAGTCACGTGACTAAACTGACCAATCACTGACTGTACTTGACCACCGTGTCACGTGGCTGAAACTGACCATAGCTGACCTAACTGCCTTGCGCCTGCGTGTGAAATGGTAGACTTGTCTTAGTTCATAAACCACACTTATGTACATAAGTTTCAAAGAAATACTACTCGTATTTGTGTTAATTAAAATCCTACAACATAAACAATAAAAAAAAGTAATGAATTAAAATTAAACCTAAAAAATCATTACGTTTTGTTTCTTCTGGAATTAGCAATGTAGAATATAAACGAAGAACTATATATTTACCTTGTACTCTCCCCATAGTTTTGTTAGATTGACGGGTGCATCATTGCAAAGACTCCTAAGTGTTGTATGGTACTTCATGCTCGATATAAGGGTGTCTGGCATGGCAAAGGCTTCAACCAGGAGGTTGTGAATAGCGATATACTGGTCCTGATATCATAAAAATAATTTCTCGTAAACTTGTAAAAATACTTGACATCAAGAAATATAATGACTGAAGACGCGGAATCCACATTTCTACATATATTATAATATCATAATGCAAGTTTATGGATATCTTAACAATTCATATGTTTATGATATTTTATGATATCCGTTGAGTGGGATTGTACATCAATGCTGTTCTAAATGCCGATTGATTGAGTAAATTTTGAAACATAGATGACGATATATGTTGTATTAGTATTACATCAATGCAAAAATACAAGTCAACATATTAAATAACTATTCTTTACCAGTATAATACACACGATATCTAACAGAGAATCATTAGCTAATCAGTTACCCATTTTTAGCAACTCTGATTTTATTTGTGTAAGGAGACTACCATCGAAAATAAAACACAAGACATGACGTGACACTTGAAACATACCTCGATATCGACCGAAGGCTTTGTCTATTCGTGCTGAATAATTCATTAGTCCGTTTGCTATTGTGATAAATATGCAAAGTTTCATACAACAATGCTAAAGCTGTTAGCTTACTTGTATGATAAGTGTGCAACAAGAAAGGAGACTGATTGATTTAAGTCACATGGTTAAATGTTTCATAGAAGGTGAGCACATTTATCGATAATAAGACTTACACTGGTTTGAACCATATTGACCCTGTCCTTCCTCATGGTTCGAATGTAACCCAAGACGTCAATCATTCCACTTGTTTTGCCGTGCTCTAACAAAGCATCTAGCGCGATGAACGTTCCTGTTCGTCCTATACCTGCACTATAAAATGACACATGATTCAACAGAATGATTAAAGCTAAGTTATAAGGCCAGTTGTTTTCTACCTTACATGTAACTGGTACTGGTTTTATCACACATATTCTCCGTACGTTGAGAAGAAAATCGACCTTGAATAATGTTGTTTTTGAATATTAATTTTCATGCCGAGCTCGTAATAAATGTAAATGATATAAATAAACTGGAAAAGGTTTAATCTTAGGCCCTGAAGGCCCTAAGTTATATTGAATAATTCACTCGTTAGCAACTTTGTTGTAAACAATTATTTTTGGTAATAGAAATAAACACAACATTTGCTGAACATTATATGTATTTGAACTGTAATTCAATTATATTCCACAATAACATATAAAGATTTACCAGACAACTTCCCCAAGTATCATTTTTTATATCCATTCACAAATCGGAAGTTATTCAAATACCTGCAATGGACCACCATCTTTCCTGTCAAAGTATTCTTGTAATGTTTCACACGACGATGGAAGACAACCAGTTCATTGGGGTCCGGAGTTCCGTGGTCTGGCCACGTGGTGAAGTGAAACTGGTGTATTTGCCGCATGGATTTGGTCTGGAAAAGTTGAAATTCTTACATTTATGTTTCAGCCATGAATGTTCAAAAGTTGTGATACACAAGGATTACAGAAAACAGATGAAATATAAGCTAAGAAGAAAACCGAATACGTTATGAAAACACACACCTCTTTGTTAATTAACTGTTTTCTATGTATAGATAGGTGTAATTTATGCAATATCACCTTGCAAATGATAAGTAAGTGTACCAATGTGATTTGATTTTACCAAAGGAACAAAACAAAGGTTTGAATTAAACGACATTTACCTTCTTTTCTGTGAGAATGATATCCCGGATCACATAGAAGGCGTAGACCCTTTCTCTGTCCAGAACGATGTTGAAATGGTTTGTAGACATCGGCTCGCCCTCATCAGGCCAGTATTTCGCACACTTTTTCTATGATTAAGATAATTTAAAACATTAAACATGTTTAAAGTATTCAAATCATTAGGACAATTACGTCAGCAATGAACAGACTTGAGTCATTTCTGGACTGACCATTTCCTTATATTATGTATTCGTTATGTATTTTATTGGAAACTTATAGGATGTTTAAAATCATGAACCATTTATCACATTTTGTTATACATTCACCATTTATCATATTTTGTTATACATGCAATATGTCTTTTATTGAACATTCTTGGCTGTTAAAAAGCTTGAACCATACATATAGCCTGAGGAACCATTTAAAATATTTTGTTATATACTTGCGATATGTCTTTTATTGAACATTCTTGGCTGTGAAAAAAGCTTGAACCATACATGTAGCTTGAGGAACCATTTATCATATTTTGTTATAAATGTGATATGTCTTTTATTGAACATTCGCGGCTGTTAAAAATCAGGTCGTCTGATGACAATGATTCATATGCATGACATGTGTTTTTCTTTTGTAGGCAAAATAGCTATCAATTTACTACTGCATTCAATATTTCACACATTACATATGAGTAATAAATGGCATGATGCCTTATTTAACTATTTAACAGCTATTAAATACAATATACCGAAATTGTCAGAACAATATCCAAGGTGCGAAACTGCAGGTATTACCTTTGTTCCTTCAATAAGGTTGGTTAGCATAACGATTTTCCCAGATTTAAGCTGCCAGATCATACGCCACAGGTCATCTACAATTTTGTCCGTCGGACCTATCAATAAGGTAATGTATAATATTGTCATTGATCAATATCTTCACGTAAAACAATACACCAATGATTTAAGCATGGTGTTAACAGCTTTCATTTAAATTTTCGAACACTTTCAAAATGTTTTAACCAAGTTGTTCCGGTCTTTGTAATTATATTAGAAATGCATTGCATTATGGTCATGATTCCTGCTTAAATATAACGTTAAAACAATGTATAATCCTACAGGTAAACCGTATATTTATCCGTTATGCTCCCATTAACCACTCTTGATCAACCCTTGTCAAGCCATCGTAAGAACGACTGAATGACAGTATCTCATTATGACAGTACAGAAGCAACTCCGTTCCACTAACGCATTTTGACATGTATTTGTAATCAGATCAAGCCAAATTCATACACAAAATTAAAATCGCCTAAAAATACCTTAGAAGCGGAGACAAGATGACCATACCATTGAATCAAATGTAAAGTTAATTTGTTTTAAAGTTTACAAAGAATGAATTTTTCGACACGTACAACGGTCAAATGAATCTAAGATGGTCAAATACATATTTACCTTGTGTTGCGATATACTCTGCAGGTAATATGACACTCTGAAATGTACGAAACTGACATTTCATATTTGGTTTACTTGTCTAACCCTTAGAAGGTTTCTTCCTGAAGTAAACGTAATCGATAAATGCTATATAATAATTTATATAAAGAATATACGACTTTGCCACTAGGCTATCATCTCAATTTCAATTTTTTCAACTACATTTTGGTATTTATTTCGATACAAAATGTGGTTTGTTTGAAAATACTAACATCAATGTAGTTTGCGTTGATGTAGTCTGAATGAGGGTCATTGTCCAGTTTGTCAAGAATCACGCGGGAATGATCATCTATAAATATAGAAAAACGATACAATTGAGCAAAAAACATTTCACACTGGCATACTTATAGTTTGATCAATCAGCGCCTTTTTATCAAATAAAAAACCATTATTTCGGAATTGGCTTCGGTAGAATAACAACGGAATTATAAAAAAGCACAGACTTGAAGAGAATTTCAACCAAATGAATATTACGTTTAGATATTATTCCAATTGTGCTGGTTTTTTTTCTACTTTTACTTTAGACATGAAGCTTCCTAATTTTGTAATTCCCAGCATATCCTTATTTTGGATTTAACGGTGAAACTTATTGTTGAATCTGAAAAAATCATGACGATCGTTTCTACATTTTGGCCTTTAATATTGATGTTGAAATGATAAAAAAAGTCTTACTTACAGGGAAACGTAGACTTAAATCTGTTCTTCATCCTGTTTTCAGTCAACATCCCAATGTTGTGTGCATGTATAGCTCCGGAAGGTAGTGACTACACACAAATTGTATATATATCACATAGTATAACTAGCCTTAGTGGTAGGTTGATAAATTATAGAAACTACAGAATCGACAGAGAATGTGTATTCAACCCTTCCATTTTTACAATATCCGCATGAATATAACAATTTATGAAAAAGTAATTTAAATCAGAATACGTTTTGCAGCACCCCCATACATATAACTTACCGCGTATTCGTCTTCAAATACTTTTGCCTCATTAAGCATCTTGGCTTTGACCATAGCTTTAAGATCGGAAATAGCTATACTGACAGGACCGCAATTGTCGCATACGTTTGCGGAGCTGTCTTTATCTACATCATTAGCATTGACGTAAACGTTATCATGATTTGTCGGGATCTCTGTGGTATTTTCCACTTTTGCTATATCACTAGCGTTGACATAAACGTTCCCGTGACCTGCCGGGGTTTCTTCTTTGGATCCATCATCAACAACTTCATAAACGTTTCCTTGTTCCGTCACGGGTTCTGCGGAGTAATCATCTGGCTCTGTAAAGGAATATATTGATATTTATAAAACAGATTACGACTGTTTTAATCCAGAGAAAGTCTCAGCGCACTTTATTCTGTTAAATACAATAGCTATGTGATGTTTGATGTAACTCTTACCTGACATCTTTTTATATTTAGGTTTAGTTGTGATGCAATAGACAGGAATCCTCACTCTTGATACTATTATAGCTATTGGTGCATTTCTGATATTTAATGCTCTGATGTCTGCTATTATTATAGCTATTGGTGTATGTGTGATATTATTATACTTTTTGTTGTTATGTGTGATATTATTATAATTTTTGTTATGTGTGATATTTAATGCTTCCATATCTGCTATTACAATAGCTATTGTTGTTATGTGTGATATTTTATGCTTAAGTGTCTGCTATTATTATTGTTATTGTTGTTATGTAAGATATTAATATAATTGTCGTTGTTATGTGTGATATTTAATGCTTCCATGTCTGCTATTATTATTGTTATTGTTGTTATGTTTGATATTATTAAAATTGTTGTTGTTATGTGTGATATTTAATGCTTCTGTGACTGCTATTATTAAAATTGTTGTTGTTATGTGTGATATTCAATGCTTCCATGTCTGCTATTATTATTGTTATTGTTGTTATGTGTGATATTATTATAATTGTTGATGTTATGTGTGATATTATTATAATTATTATTGTTATGTTTGATATTATTATTGTTATTGTTGTTATGTGTGATATTTAATGCTTCCATATCTGCTATTACAATAGCTTTTGTTGTTATGTGTGATATTTAATGTTCTTTTGTCTGTTATTATTATAGCTATTATTGTTATTTATGAAAAGCTAAAATTGTTGTTGTTATGTGTGATATTTGATGCTTCCATGTCAGCTATTGTTATTTTTATTGTTATTATATATGATATTATTATAATTGTTGTTGTTATGTGTGATATTATTATAATTGTTGTTGTTTTGTGCGATATTATTATAATTATTGTTGTTATGTGTGATATTATTATAATTGTTGTTGTTATGTGTAATATTATTATAATTGTTGTTGTTATGTGTGCTATTATTATAATTATTGTTGTTATGTGTGATATTATTATAATTTTTGTTTTTAGGTGTGATATTTAATGCTTCCATGTCTGCTATCATTATAATTATTGTTGTTATGTGTGATATTATTATAATTGTTGTTGTTATGTGTAATATTATTATAATTGTTGTTGTTATGTGTGATATTATTATAATTATTGTTGTTATGTGTGATATTATTATAATTGTTGTTGTTAGGTGTGATATTTAATGCTTCCATGTCTGCTATTATTATTGTTATTGTTGTTATTTGTGATATTATTATAATTGTTGTTGTTATGTGTGATATTATTATAATTGTTGTTGTTATGTGTGATATTATTATAATTGTTGTTGTAAGGTGTGATATTATTATTATTATTGTTGTTATGTATGATAATATTATAATTGTTGTTGTTATGTGTGATATTATTATAATTGTTATTGTTATGTGTGATATTATTATAATTGTTGTTGTAAGGTGTGATATTATTATAATTGTTGTTGATATGTGTGATATTTAATGCTTCCATGTCTGCTATAATTATTGTTATTTTTGTTATGTGTGATATTTTAATGCTTCCATGTCTGCTATTATTATTGTTATTGTTGTTATGTGTGATATTAGTATAATTGTTGTTGTTAGATGTGATATAATTATAATTGTTCTTGATATGTGTGATATTTTAATGCTTCCATGTCAGCTATTATTGTTGTTATTGTTGTTATGTGTGATATTATTATAATTGTTGTTGTTATGTGTGATATTAATATAATTGTTGTTGATATGTGTGATATTATTATAATTGTTGTTGTTTTGAGTGATATTTAATGCTTCCATGTCTGCTATTATTATTGTTATTGTTGTTATGTGTGATATTAGTATAATTGTTGTTGTTAGGTGTGATATAATTATAATTGTTGTTGATATGTGTGATATTTAATGCTTCCATGTCTGCTATAATTATTGTTATTTTTGTTATGTGTGTTATTTTAATGCTTCAATGTCAGCTATTATTATTGTTATTGTTGTTATGTGTGATATTAGTATAATTGTTGTTGTTAGGTGTGATATAATTATAATTGTTGTTGATATGTGTGATATTTAATGCTTCCATGTCTGCTATAATTATTGTTATTTTTGTTATGTGTGTTATTTTAATGCTTCAATGTCAGCTATTATTATTGTTATTGTTGTTATGTGTGATATTAGTATAATTGTTGTTGTTAGGTGTGATATAATTATAATTGTTGTTGATATGTGTGATATTTAATGCTTCCATGTCTGCTATAATTATTGTTATTTTTGTTATGTGTGTTATTTTAATGCTTCAATGTCAGCTATTATTATTATTGTTGTTATTTGTGATATTAATATAATTGTTGTTGTTATGTGTGATATTAATATAATTGTTGTTGTTATGTGTGATATTATTATAATTTTTGTTTTCGATGTTCGCTCTTAATATTACCATAGATGTAGTTGTGATGTGGTGATCGAGTTATCTTTTTTCTGCCTATATCATCAAATGAGTCCTCTTTTGTTGAATTTTGTCTGCTTCTGCAATTCAAACACATATATTTCAAGTATATAGTGTTTTAATCCTCTTAAGTGACTCTTTATATGTAATATAAAGCTAAACAAAATAATTATTTTCAGTAACTGAACAACCTTTTTATAATATATGTGCAATTATGCATTTAACTAGTAAATATTGAAAAAAAAAACGTAAGCAAATAGTGCTGATTACACCTTTACAATTTTGTTATTGATACAGTATGCCGAAAACGAATTACACAGTACCATACATCTATTTCCTTTTAAGATTGATGAATTTTAAAACATACTACCTTCAAATCAAAGGATATGCCATACACTGTCTAAGCATGTGATTATATCAATGATGCGAAATTTACAATAGGCAGATATAATCATGTGACTAGTCATGCTAAGTTAGGAACGCGTAAGTTCTCTGTCTATTATCTTAGCATCATTATCAAATAAACATACCTTCTGATAAGGAACACACTGGTTGATATTATAACAGCCAGGAGAAGTAGCCCAACAACAACCCCTACGATCGTCCCAGTATTACCATCCGATGTCACGGTCTGCAATACTTCTTTAAGTAGAATTTAAGTAAATACCCTTAAGATTTATTGATGAAAATATTATCAAAATTGAAAAGCAAAAAAACCTCTTAGATTGCCTGCAACAGCAAGCTTAATGATGTTAATGGATATCCTACACCATGTCATTGAGTCCACCATGATTTGTCATAAGGAGGATTGATACAGGAAACGTTGTAGGAAGAATGTAGAAATCGCCATATTGTAGATATTTTCTCCTTTACTACATACTGTAATTATTTAGGTAAAAATAAGCTGTTTGGCCATAAATATCAAACTTGTACTTTATACACAAACAATGTACGTATTAAACGTGTCGCCACGTTTCAAGTCCAATTTGTCACTGTGTTACGTTATACACAAACAATGTACGTATTAAACGTGTCGCAACGTTTCAAGACCAATTGGTCTCTTTGTTACTTTATACACAAATAATGCACGCACTAAACTGGTCTCTTTGTTTAAATACAAATGGACCAGTCTGTTTTCAAACGTTGCGACACGTTCAATGGAACATTCTTTGTGTATTAATTAAAACACCGATAGCAGATTTTTCCAACTGAAGATAGTTGGGCCATACATATGACAGGCCTTTAACACTTTAACCAACTAAGCTACCAGTTATATTATGATGTTCCATCTACAATGTACTTCCTCAGTGAAAAATGAACATCATTGTTTTGAAGTCAGTTATATTTGGACTGTATTTGATGAATAGGTGCTTAAAGGTTATTTATAAATTTATTTTCTGCAAAGCATTACCGACATACACCCCCGTTTCAATAGTTAGTAGGACAACAATGACCTTAAAGTGATGTCGGGGACAGAATAATACGTTACGCTATCATAACTTTAAAAGGCGATAAAACGTTTGTAAACCATTATTGTTTCAATCCGTCAATATCAATATGATCAGTGGATAACGTACAGATGAGTTTCAAAAAAGGGTTTAACTATTTTCCCCTCTTCTCGACCTAAAATCTGTAAAATACGACATACGCAATATAAATACAGCAATGTAGGTATATGGGTTAAGGATATTCCATCAAGGGTCACTCATGCAAAGTTTTAACAAGCGTTTGATTGTGACTCTAAACACAATACCGTCATCTTATTGTGACATCACAATACAAAAGATGAATGAGTGCACACATGTGTATCCCGTATGATGAGTGTTCTATATGGAGCATTTATATCTTACATACGTAGAAATGTACTATTATAGCAGTGTGGGATTCTAGACCTTGCTTAAAATGGCCTTTAATCTGGCTATATTACTTTATTTAGGTTCATAACGTGTCTAATCAATGCTGATATCTTACTCATCTGACATGTATTTCCTTCGAATCCAGCAGAGCAGACAGATAGACAATACCCTGTGTCCCTCACACATCTATTGCAGTTTCCACATGGCATGCTACAGTTTCCACCATGTAAACCACCCGTACACTCTGTTTTGTCGCAAAAAAAAACACTTTTATTAATATTTTTAGTTCTTCATATAAATCATTTTACTGGTATCAGTTAAGAAATATATCGTTTTAATATATGTTTTATTTTTAGAAAAGTAATGGTTTAAAATTGATGAAATAGAATATATCTTATATAACCGTTTTTCATTGTTGATAGTGGTATACGTTATTGATATAATTGGTATAAAACACATTTGATGTCTTTTTAATCCATACGTTAATACTTATTTCACTGTAAGTAAACGTTAAAGAATATCTGACAATACATATTCAGGTTTGTAACTTTATTAAAGTTGAAACCGGTATATTTAAATGGCAAGATATGCCATGAATTGTGGCCTCAAAGGGTACGATTTGCAAAGTGTACATGTGTAATGTATGCTGGTTTTTACCTGTATTTGTACCAAATGTGTGTTACCTGTATTGTTAAGTGTAAAGGATTGCGTCTTATTATGTGGGTTCATTCATGCGTATAAATATGCAGAGCAGACCAGCGACCAGCGAGTCATATTCAGGTGAACGAGACAATAGAGCTAAACAGTCGGTGACCTGAGGAAAACCACCGAACCAGGTACGCCGCAGGGGCGTTTGGGAACGTCAGAGCCTCTGGTTGGATCCTCCTCATGGCACCGAGTGAAAGTCACTATTATGACGTTAACGCCGGCGCAGAATGTTATTGGGTACCCACATACTAGGTCGCACTATTCCTAAATGTTGTTGTAAATATTGCCTATGATAATAAATGTTGGAAACGATCAGTTCAGTGTAGGGTATATCTTTTGTCACACTACAGACTCCAAGGATATAAAACGTACGTCACTTTACGCTAGAACCCGGAAGGACAACGGTGGAGGACGAAGGACGTGAACCGTTACAGTCAAAACAATACATTCGGTTTGTGAAGCAAGTATGGTTAAAGGGGCATCACGGTGAAGTAACTTTATTTTTTGCCTTTTTTTCAAATTCTACATAAACATATCAAGTGAGACTCCTTATGGAAAATAACGATCGGATTTGGCTGAAATAGATTTATAAAAATGATTAAATCTAAGAAAATCATCAGTATTTCTACCTGTCTGACCAACGTTTTGTTCAGGGATTTCCCTCTACTAGCGCATGCGCATAGCACACCATTTCTTTGTAAACAAATGACTGGCCGTGTGAAGTAAGCGACAGAAAAGTGCTGTACCGTGTCAGCTACGAAACGAAAAGTTGCCAAATGGTCAAAAGATAGCGCAAGGAGTACGTTACGGAATCATTATTGCAGGTGGGCAGTATTCAAAGGAGAATATAACTGCCGTAGCAGTGAGTACTGTGCATGTATTCTTCCGGATAGCCGGTTAAGCTGAAATGGAATCGACAGAAATGCTAGCGCTGTTTATGTTATGAATAAATGTCTAAACCTATTAAGCTCGCTAGTATCTTTGTCTGAGTTTGAACACAGATGAACTTAGTTTAATATGTGAATGGGCATGTATTGGAGAAAGTTTACTTTGTGTTTCTATAATTATACAGTGGTTTATGCGAAAGGAAGGGATAAGTGACTGGTTCGTTTGGTTTTTCCATGAGGCCCTCCAATGGATAACTGTTGTGATGGCCCACGGCGTATTTTCTTGGTCACCGAGATACATAATTTATAATATTTACCGAGTTCAATAAAATGGTATGATTTAATTATATTGCTGAATTAAACGATTATTTTTGTTTTTACATGCAAGATCTAAATTAGTACTAATATGAATACCCGGCCTCCTCTGCCCCGGCAATATATAAAAAAAAATCAGAAAGGTTTGTCCCTTGGTGTAGGCAGGGATGTGTACACATCCCTGGTGTAGGGAAGGTGTTTAGCCCCGTAACATCTGTACCGGCCACATTCCGGTACTAAATTCAATATATATTGTAATATATCTACTTTATGTTTATGCCTATCATCATTGTTGACATTTAATTGTAAATGTATGACGGGAGAAGGCTGTGATAAATTGTAAAAACTTGTGCCCCATCCCTTGTTTAATTTTATTGGCAACAAATTTATGTTTAAAGCTAAATAAATTTAAATTCTGAATATTGGCAAGTGTGCAATTAACTTCTAATGATGAATAATTACTGTTCAATAAGTTTGAATACGGACTTAGAAATCATATAACTTGGTTTCATAGTGCGGTAATTGTAGAAGTTGCAGTTGCCTGACGGCCCCTTTCTGGGGGCCCCGTTGGAAACCGTTTCATCTCGCTCGCACTGCCTAGTCAGGTGACGTTATCGGCGCTATTTTTAGCAGGGCTTTCCCGAACAATTCAAGTGGTCAAACTTGACATTTGGAACGGACTATGAATATGGGGATAGCGCGGTAACATAAGTGGAAGTGCATACAATACATACATTCATTAAAAAAAAACGCCTTTTCACGTGATGTCCCTTTAACGTATGACCACAGCAACGTATGGTAACTGGCTGTTGAGTACATTTTTACACGGGATATATATGTATATATATTTTATTACAAGGTTTGTTTCATATCGATGTTTATTTTCTTTGACATCGAATGATATCGAACAGTGTCAAAACGTGTATATCAAAATACAGCATCATACCTTCACAATCTCCACTCTCGGCATTGCAGCGGTTATTCAGACAATTCTCGGAGCAACTGATGTTACAAAACGATCCATGTTTTCCATCATGACAATCTAAGGAAAACCACGACTTTAGTATACTAAACTTTGGTGGACATCCCAGCATAAATGAAAGCCATATTTATCATAAAAAAAAAATTGGCAACGTCAGGTGATCTACATATGTCATTAATGGCGATTGTTGAACCCTTGTTTTGAATGTCACTTATCGAAATCAGGGGAACACTAAATTTAAAAACTGCTTTCAATATAGCAATTTTATTTAAACTTTATCTATAAAGCTCAAGGTCTTACACAACTTCCAACGATGTTTTCTCTATGTATAGTATATAATATACATTGGGACGCCTAGATTTTACCTGTACATGTGCTATCGATTTGTTGGCAAATGTTGTCTTTGCATTGACCCAGACAATCCATTGAACAGGAGGGGCCGTATTTTCCAGGATTACATGCTGAAATATATATATTCGATGAGATTATTTTATATTTACAGTTCATATGGAGAAATATGCACATTTTTACAATATTTTAAATAATTTGTTTAATGTTTTGTAAATGTATTTCGTTAAAATTAGATATTTTTATTTTATAATATTTTTCATCACACAAACATTTGAAGGTCACTATAGCCATATAATCCTGATTCAATGATACTTCTCAAACAAGTAAAAAATGACCACTGTCATGACTATCATAGTTATATCATGTTGATGAACGAATTTAATGTGTTAGTCCATGATTTAAAAAAGATAAAACAGGTATGACTCAGTTTCAACTTATGAAGACAAAATGTATTGAATATAGACATCGCCAATGATTTGAAATGTAAGACATTTCCTTTACTACTCATTTCACCAGTGTAATATTCGTCAACAATGAATATTTACCCTAAACCTAAAATCACGCTTAATAACTAATTTAAAAATCGATTGGCTTTTGTTGAGCATATTTTTATATAACCAGATACCACTACGACCTATTGATAATAATAAATAAAAGTAAAAAAAATAAAAAAACCTTTTTTTTCAAATATAGCTATTATTAACTCATGGCCATAAGAAGCCGTTTTCACCCAACCTATATAAGTCTATATAACTTCGAGACGGCATAGAAGATAGTCCGGCATATTTCATCCGTCTAATAATCATATTTGCATACTATTACTACTACAACTCACAAACTGGTCATCATATTTCTTAAGAGCAATAACAATAACCATTTAGTCACTTTTCCTCCAGGATCATTTATCGTAGTTTTGATAATAACTCAAACTGTACACGGGGATAGAAACAAACACTGTTTAAATAACTAAAATTACTAAATGACTTATATCCCGATAGAAAGCTAATAATTTATATCTAAGATCAAATTGATCTATCTGAGAACAAATCGCGTTTTGTTAATACTTGTTGGTTTATACCTTAGTCTAGCTGAACATATCACTGTTGTGTTTATCTCCCTTGTTACTTTCATTTTCCTAAATAATAATGTTTGAAAGATCCAGCATATTTTCGTTGACGAAAATGAATGGAAAGTGTATTATATGAGATTGCCTTCCTTCACACCTATCCGCTCCATAGCTCCATACAATGTAATGTATTGGACCTTGTGGCTTTCTGAGACACTTTGCTTGAATGCTTAAGTATGGCTTAAGACTTTCATTGATCCTAGGTACTGTATCACACGAAAAGGCACAATCAAGTCAAACAGGACAAGTTCTATAAACATGTAACTAGCGGTCTTTTGATACTTTGACCAAATTGAACAGTGTCAGCCGTCAATGAATACTTTAACTTTATTAAGTTAGTGAACTTAGGTATCAATAATATTTGTAATCTCATAGATAGCATGATTCATTTGAAGAATTTTCGGGAGATGAAGTGTATAACAGATCCTAGTGATCATTTCGTCCACTGTTCAAAGTATTTATAAATGGACGTAGTTTTGTGAAAAAGTTTTGATAAAAATGGAGGGAAATGAGGAGTACATCTGGTTCCAGTGTGCACTATTGTTTTTCTTTTTCTTTTTCTTTCGAATGTCTACATTGGAATATTCACATGTTATTTGATGTGCATTTATCTCAATATGCGAGACAGTTATTTTCCGTTTGGTTTATCCTCTGACTCTAAGTTTGTGACAGTTACTGTAACATTCGTAAGCCCAAGTCAAAGTAGTAGTCAAACCAAAACACAAATATTATTGGAGCTTAATGTCTGTGTTTGCTATTTTGTATCTTTAATACTCCATGATTTACTATGAATATGTTCAGCAAATAATTAATACACATGCTTAGATAGCACGTCTACCGCGACGTTTTGAATATGTGTCTCCAATAAATATTATGTAACAATAGATACATATATTCTGATTATTGGAAGGCACTTGATGGTAAGCATTTCAAGTAAATGACCTATCAAAACTTAATATTAGCTATTGATCAAAAGCATGACATTAATGATCATGTTTTATTTTAAGATTTATTGTAGCGTTAATATTATACCAAGATAACAATAATTACCTATACAATGTCCATTGCTTTTCATGCATGTATTGTCTTTACAGTTGTCTGAGCAATCATTTGAACACTGATCACCGTGTTTCCCAGGAATACATTCTGTAAAATAATTCAATTCTTTTAGTTTTTATCAGTAATATAATTCAATTAACAGTAACAGTCATGTATGGTGCGGACCTGTTACAATAGTATCCAAATTGAAATAAATGATACATGTATTGAACACAGCTATCATTATTAGTAACACTGTTATTGATACAAAATATCAGTTATAATAAATAATTGTCATTCTTCGTTAAATAAAGTCTTGCGAAAAATGTTGAATTAAAACCCAAACAAAAAGAGGTAATCTTGTTTATTATTAAAAATTATCAATATGGTGATATTTCATTAGTTATCTAAACAGGTCAAGATAACATTTTTTGTGTTGACTGTACCGATGAGACGAAAGCGCTACGTGATTTAATCGTCAAACTTTTGTTTTGTTTAAATTTATCATTAACTAATAGGCCAATTTGAACTCATGTAACTGTGTTATGTACATTTCACGAAATTACTCATGCGATGTGTAAATTAGTAAATCATATCTTTATGACAAATCATGCAACACATTGAACGTTATAAGGGACGCTAAGAACCAGTGATAGACTTGAAATCATATCCGCTATGCTTCTCCTGAACCTTGAATCATTTCTTCAATAATTCTAATACTATAGGGGAATGTGAATACCCTGCATCGTGATCGACAAATAAATGTAAGGAATATGGAACTGGCTTAGGTAAAAGACATATACGTGTGTCTGCTCGGATAAGTTAACTGCAACAACTTATTTAAGCATCAATTATCTCCCCTCATGGTAAATTATACATATATCATCACTTTTACTGTCACCACTGCAACAGTAACTACTCTGTGAAGTTATAATTACGGAAACATTGTGCGGACGTCTGGTCACATGTCACGCAATGAGAAGAGCAGCTGGTGTCACATAATTCCCCCTTTTTACCAGGAATGCATCCTGAAAATATAAATAATTATCGTCGGATTATTATGTGGAAGAAAACTAGGAATAGAAAGGAAATGTAGGAACATCTGTTTCAAGTTTGATAAAAACTTGTACTGGTTGATGAGGTGTACTGTTTAGAAAATATAAGGGGATTAAATCAGGAATTTTCCAGTGTTCATGTATGCATGAACGGAAAAACAATTACTTACACACCACATGAGCGGCCGGAGCGAAGCGAAGGCTGTTCATTTGAAGTGTGTCAGTAAATGTTCCCCCGTTCATACTTGCATGAACACTGCAAAAATCCAGATTCAATTCCTATAATTCCAAATCACTGTCAACGGAAAGGAAAACAAAAAACATCATTCAAATTACGAACGTTTTTCTTTCATTCATAAATTATTTCCTAAGGTGTAGTATTATAAGGTAACATCGCAACCTCATTTCTGGAATCTCGAAACTAATTCACGTGAACATTTTCCAACGGTCGCTTCATATCGAGCTTCAGCGACCTTGCTAATGAAAACATTGAAGAAACAGTAACGTTTGCGAATGAGCTTTGAATTTACTAAGGCGATTCGACAAAGAGAAAGTTTTCAACAGTGTAGCCTCTTGCAAATGTAAAGTCGATGGATGATGATTCTGGAGAACGGAAAGACCGGGGTTGACACCCGGTTTGAGGACAGCGGTGATTATTATGACGGGAAGTTCATTAGCTGGACTCGTCACGTTTTTTGTTTCATGTATTATTCACGGATATAATATATGTATACGCTCGTTATGTCGGTAGAAGTTCATGGATAGTACAGTATATGTGTAGGTAAATTCACCTCTGTGATACTTTCTAATGTGGGAAACATCCAGGTTAATTCCTGATATTGATCACTGTGTGTAGATCCATTTGTAACATCAAAATACCTTGTCAGTTTGAACTTTGTCAGATTGATATCGTTGATACGTCAGACGACAGAACGTGTCAATATTGTGAATATGGTCAACTGTAGTTTCAACTCATTTACTGTTAAAACTTCTAATACTTCAAATAATAAACAATAAGAAAAAAATACAATTGTAAAAAGTAATAATTAACAGTAGATCTTGCTTTTTTTCACGGCGAGTTTAGTTTTTGCAAGAGGAGACAAATCGAAAGTCAATGGGGATTAGGAAAATTCAAAAAGTAGTCACAGGAAAAAAAAAACAGCCGTTCATACTTATATTTAAAGCTATTTTTTGGGTGACATGTGCTACTATTAACCAATCGCAGAACCTGGAACAAAACGCAAAATCAAATTTGGAATTGTATATGAATGATATATGATAGCTTAGACGGAGTGAATGGTTAAAAATCAGGGGGAGGACGTGTAATAACATCCCCACTTGAAAACCATGGATCATGTCACTTATCTTAAGAATAAGTGTTGGACATCGTTGTGTTATTGACGTATTAATCATGTAAACTTTGTATGTAATACACTACTTACCTATACAATGTCCATCGCTCCTAGTGCAGTTTTTGTTTTTACAGTTGTCAGAGCAATTAACTGCACAATTATCACCATGTTTTCCAAGAACACATTCTGTAAAAGAAGTTACCTTATTAAAAGAGATACAGAACATATTTCAAATACTACAGATACATCACATGGTTTACTCAATTATAAAACGGCCTATCAACGATTCATTGAATTATATGATCTTTCCATATAGCATTTGAAGCTTTATTGTATCTAGCAAATCTATTTAAATATGAAATTCCGTAGTATTTAAATGTCAAAATGTGAACTAATTACCTAAGCAATATCCATCGTCTTTAGTATATGTTTTGTCTTGCAGTTGTCATTAACACTCTCTTAATATGTCACTTATTGGATAAAAGATCAAGAAAACACCAGGGACCCTCGATGTTCGTGAAGTTGTATTCAAACAGTCGATACTACTGAGTGTAATAGTTGTGCCTGTCCTGATGTATATAATGATCTACCTACCTATACAAGTCCCGTCGTTCTTCATGCATGTTTTGTCCTTACAGTTGACAGAACAATCAGCTGCACAATCATCACCATATTTTCCAGGGACACATTCTAGAAAAATATATATTAACTGACGGAATTTAGACGTTGGTTGAAAGTTGGTTAAACATTTTAATATTTCGCTAGTAAGAACGTGTCTAGAAGTGAAATGAAAATCACAAGAGGTTTTCCAATTATATGATCGATATGAAAGATTTGTTAAAGTGATATCATTGACAGAGATGCTTAATATTTATTTACAATACGATTCCAGTGTATTAAAATTTTAACAGTTTATAATAATTACTTAAGCACTATCCGTTGTCCTTAAAGCATGATTTATCATTACAATTCCCAGACCAGTCATTAATTCCAGTGGTTAGAAAATGTAACAGACATAGAGTTTAAGTATTAAGTGCTTTATCTGCAATGACACATTTAGATTGTCAAATACCATTGTATTTATATCGGATAAGGTTTACACTAAATACCGAAGCAATATCCGGTTTCTTTCATGCATGATTTGTTCTTACAGCTGTCAGAACAATCAACGTCACACATGTCACCGTACTTTCCATTAACACATTCTGTAATATATAAATATAAATATATATACAGTTTATTACTAATATTTTAGAAACATGTGACATATTGTGCAAAACACATCAGAAGATATCAACATACAAATGCAACTGTGGGGAGTGTGTATCCTGAACAATTGTAATAGAACTTGATCTTCAGGCGACTCTTCGTAATATTCGGTTATTTTTTTCTGAAATGCCGAAGAAACAAGAGTGATTTTTAAAAGGGTCCACAAGTTGCCGATTTAATTATTATTGTCACGTTATCCATTTTATAATTTTATATTATAAGACTCGTTCATGTCCAGAGGTGAAGGATAGGGAAATTCTAACCGAGAGGTTTTCAAATTTGGTAAAACCCGAGGCTGTGCCGAGGTTTTTTGCAAAATTTAAAACTTCCGAAGCTGGAATTTCCCTATCCTACATCCCTGGGTATAAAAGAGTATTTTGCTCTGATTCCAACTACCAGAATAAGCTCAGAAACCATGAAAACGCGCTTGGACTGGCTACCATTTTGAAAATATCAATTTTTACTCTGAGCTTTTTGACAAAAACAAATTCGTCAGCGAGATTAAGCATACCCTATATTTGTAAACAATGTTTGAGCAGAAAAAATAATCTCATCTCTAACGTGTACGATAAATATGTCGTAAAAGGTTTTAATTTCATCACGTTGCCTTTTCCACATTGCGGCATCGGTGTTTTCCCAATTCGTGACGTCACGTCATTGTTGAGCATTTGCAAGGTCACGTCACGTGAAATCGAGTGTTAGATAGGAATTTGCTACACCTTTTTCTTACCCTGGACAGCTCTATCTTACACACAAGGAAATGAGAGAAAATGCATTACTAACCTATACAATGTCCATTGCTCTTCATGCAGTTTTTGTCTTTACAGCTGTCAGAGCAATCCAATTCACACATATTCCCATGTTTTCCAAGAATGCATTCTGTCAAACGAATGATTTTTATCTTAAGATGTGTCAATATCATATTTCAAATAATAAATACACTGCTGCATAATGAGACATATGGTGAGGATTAATTTGTTTTGTTTCTTTGATATTGTTCCAGTAAGCTCGTGTCTAGAAATAAACACATCAGTGGTCTTTCAAAGTAATTTTTTATGAACGTTTTTTAATTCATATGGGTGTGGTGTTTGAAAAAGGTTACTTATGTTTGATCTGGACAATTGATATACAATTGCACCTATACAATAAGACATTGCACTTTATTGATAACTGTTATTTACCTAGACAATATCCATTGTCCTTCATGCATGCTTTGTCTTTACAGTTGTCAGAACAATCAAAGTTACAAGCATCCCCGTACTTTCCATCAACACATACTGAAACAAACAAATGATTAAGAATCAGTGTTTGATATATATGAAATTTGTTCATTGATTCTAATACAAGAAAGATGTTCAACATCACTTAACAAAATAGTTTTAATGAAAATACGATAATACTTATTTATTTTAGTAAAAACATATCTATTTAACAACAATTATGAAATAAGTTTTCCCACCCTATTTTAATATTAATCACTCTTAGTGACCGGGATGGAAGTGTGCATTTGGTCCTAATTTGGGAGGAAAACAAAGTACCCGATGAAATACCCTTTCACGTCCGATCGGAGAATCAAACCCCGGCCGTCTTGGTGAATATTCCCGAAACCAAATGGTTTCCCTGTCGATATAGATACTTTCTGTGCACCTCTTGAAAATGTCATGCAAAATTGCAAAATGCAGATGATTCAAGTAAAGTTGTCTGGTGCTTTTGATGAAGATCAAAATAATCGCGCGGTAACGAAATGGGGAAATCGATATGCTCTAAAGATGGGTGTAGCTCTTCCGTAATCTTCAAAGGACAGGTATCAGTCTAGTGATTTATCAGGTTTGTATACCTGAAACAAACCAAATAGCTTACTGTGAGCCTGCGATTTTGTCATGACATATTCCAGGGTTGCAGAGACTGTGAGCTATGTGGATTCGAGGAAGGAAGAAAGCGGGTGCGCTATCAAATGTGCCTCCCAACCACCTACTAAATTATCAATTAGATTATAGAATTATTCATGTAATATCAAACTTCACTGATTCTAAAGTATACCTATCTCAATTTTAGTGTTTCGAATGTTATTCTATGAGAAGGTCATATTGCCGCGAATCACAGATAAATTAAACTATATGCTATAGTTTAATTTACCTGTGCTTTGCGGCAGTTTGACTTTATCCTTCATGGTTGATTACAAAACAAGTCCATGAAGTTTTCCCCTCGAATATTGCTGCAGTTTGAACTCATGTTTCCATGCCCATTGTTCTCCATGCATCTTTCGTCTCTACAGTTGTCAGAAAAATTAACTGCACCATCATCACCATATTTTCGAGGGACACATTCTAGAAAGGTATGTATTTACTGACGGAATTAGACTTTGGTTGAAAGTTAGTTTAACCTTTTAATATTGTTCAAGTAGGAATTTGTTTAAAAATAAACGAAACCCACAGGAGGTTTTCGAACTATATGATCGTAATGAGAGATATGTTTAAGTGTTATCATTGAAAGAGATGTTTACTACTTCATTTTAGAATGTGATTCCGTTATATCAAAATCTTAAAAGATTTGTCTTTACAGTTTTCAGACCAGTCTTTAATACAATATCACAGTGGTTCGAAAATTTGAAAGATTAAGAGTTTATTCAATTACATGATCTTGCCAATAAAGAGTTCAGAACTTTATCTGAAATAACACATTCAGATGGTAAAATACCATTGTACTTATATCCGATAAGGCGAATGCAGTTTACCTAAGCAATATCCGGTTTCCTTCATGCATGATTTGTTCTTACAGTTGTCAGAACAATCAACGTCACACAAGTCACCATGCTTTCCATTAATACATTCTGTAATATATACATATATATATATATAACATTTTATGACTAGCATTTTAGTAACAGGTGATGTATTGTGCTAAACCCATCATAAGATATCATTATACAAATACAACTGTGGGTAGTGTGTATCCTGAACACGTGTAATAGAACGTAAACTTCAAGCCACTCTTTCAAAATATTCGGTTCATTTACCTGCTATGCCTAAAAACAAGAGTCATTTTTAAAAGAGTCCAAAAGTTGCAGAATTAATTACAATTTTATATTATAAGACTCTTTCATATCCAGGGGTGAAGAATAGGGAAATTCCACCCAAGGGATTATTTTCTTTCATTCCAACTACCAGAATACGCTCAGTAACCATGAAAATGCTTTTGGACTGGCTGCAATTTTGAAAATATCAATCCCCCCTGAACTTTTATGACAAAAATGAATTCGTCAGCGATATTTGGCATCCCCATTATTGCATACAAGGTTGCGCAGAACAGTATTAATTTCATCACGTTGCATTTTCCGCATTGAGGCATCGGTGTTTTCCAAATTTGCGGCGCCACGTCATTGTTGAGCCATTATGACGTCACGTCACGTGAAATGTAGTGTTAGATAGAAATTTTCTACACCCCTTTCTTACATTGGTTAGCTCTATCTTACACACACGGAAATGAGAGAAAATACATTACTAACCTATACAATGTCCATTGCTCTTCATGCAGTTTTTGTCTTTACAGCTGACAGAGCAATCGAATTCACACATATTCCCATGTTTTCCAAGAATGCATTTTGTCAAACGAACGGGTTTTTATTTTAAGATGATATACAATTGCACCTATACAATTAGACAGTGTACTATATCGATATCTGTTATTTACCTAGGCAATATCCATTGTCCTTCATGCATGCTTTGTCTTTACAGTTGTCAGAACAATCAAAGTTACAAGCATCCCCGTACTTTCCATTAACACATAATGAACTCGTGTTTTCGAACACATTGTAGAACTACCTACTAATGCATCAATAAAGTGAAGAAAGAAAGACAGACCAGAAACAATTTAGGAAAACATGCAAAATAAAATTCGACATACGTACCTATACAATGACCTGTATCTTTAACGCAAGTGATTTTACAGTTAGCAGAGCAAGGCTGTTCACAGAAATCACCAAACATTCCGGGGAAACAATCTGTAATGTTAGTACATATTTTCTGTCAAGATAGTATATTAGCTATATCAGGTAATAAAACAGGAAATGGAACACGCATTTATTGATATCCTAATTCTGTTACTGATACAAAATTGATGTCAGGTTTATATCGGTCATAAACACTTGCTGCTGTTTTTACCCTATGTACCAAAATGGAACCACTGCCTTGATACAATTGTATGTGTTAAATACTTGTAAGTGATAGATACTTCTTTGCCAACAACCGTCAGCATATTCAGTAAACGGCTTATACGTTCCTTGTGTTGTGGTGGTTAAAATAAGTTGTAACCACTCACAGACATATATCTACCTAAACGCAATGAGCCATTGATGTATCCGAACGGCCATGCCAAGGAAATTTCCCGGAGACAATAGATTTAACAACTTGGACATTTTCATTCGAACACCATATTTCACTGAACATTTCAAAGCAATAGCGGATCCTACGTGTGCCATTTGTCTTGACTACATCACATCTGTTCCACGAAAAATGAAGAAAAAAATGGCCACAAAGTGAAAATGCTTCATTTCTATGCACAGCCTACACTATTGATCGGCACCGCTCGCCAAATGTATTCACAACGACCATCCGCGAATGTTTAGGATGTCTCACTTTGCAAACTCTGCAGTATCTACTGGTCACTCATATACAACAAGGTGCAATGGTCTGATATTGATCCATGTGACCAAGTAGATGTAATGAAATACTTTGTCAAAAGCCAAAACTAGAATATCAATAAATATAGAGTATCCTTGTCATCTGTTGAAAGTATGCGGAAATATATTAAATCGTGCATCGCGAGTAAATGTCAAAACAATAATATTAAAATTAGTAAATGGAAAGGTTGAATATGTAGTCTGGTGCGAACTCACAGAAGCAGGATCCAGTTATAGCGTTACAATTTCCTCTATAACAGCTTTCTGAACAGTAATTGTTACAATTTCCATTACCATACTTTCCGATTGGGCAGCCTGAAAATAAAACTAACCATATTTTACTCTTTTTTTTCAAATTACGTTACTGTAAACGTTTTATGTGTATTAAAATATATCATATTATAGGGGTTAACTCTTGGCATTGTGAGGAAGAATGCTGGCAATTTCAAACTAGGTTTCATTTTAATTAGGAAAGGAAAATGAAAAAACACACTAAATATTTTACAGATCCAATAGAACGTTATCGTTACATGTATTATCGTCTTAAAATTATTCCATGTAAGTCACATACCCGTAAACACACCCACACATCAATACTCTTACATGTAGGTATACTGTCGGGCTTCCAGATTTTGTAATCTGATAACTTTGTATTTCAATGTTAAATCAGGGTTTAAATAAATTTCCATGGTGTAATCTGGACATACTTTTGGTTTTATGATATATGTAATATGTTTGAGAATAACTGGTTCAGATACGAAATATTTCCATGCATTTACATTTCTTTTCCCGGCAAAAGTCGGGATTGTATCTGTTAAGTGCTAAATGTGTTAGATAAATCGCATATCGATAAAGTGTTTCAAGGAGGAAATATTTTACTCAGTTGACTAATACATTATAAGATAAAAACACTAGTAGTTATCACATGTGAAACACATTATACGCTTAAGATATTTCTTAATAAATGAATTCATTGGCATAAAATATATATCAAAACAATATTTATTCATTAAATAGAAGAGTAAAACGGATATACGACGGCAGCGCCCCCTCCATTGATTTTCAGGACGTCAAGGACCCCATATGCCTTTAATGCAACATGTTTCGAAACAAAACCAATTCTGCTCCCACTGCTATAAGGCATTTTCAATAACCTTTCTGATCGTATATAACAATTGACCATGTGTGATGCCCCTTTCTTGCAATAACAGTTTACTCATTATATGTGAAAAACTTTGACATTTTGTTTTCGTCATTTTGTGTTTTAGTGACAGGATAAGCATGATAACATCCAAATTCCATCAAATGTTCACATTTCAATGTATCTTTAGGGATCTATTGTTCTCTTACATGAATTTTAAAAGATAATCAACTGGGTATGCTCACTTTACGGAAATTCTTTTCCCGTTCCCCCCCTTATTTTGTTTTTGTTATAATAATTATCTTATTTGAGATATCATCACAGTACTGAAAGTACGGAGCGACTGCTGTCAGACGACGATCATAAAAAGATGCTGCACATTATTTTTCAATATAACTGTGACCACAATTTAGTATGGGACATTCTTGGTTGAGGTGAAAAAGATTTTGTAAATTTTGTGTAAATAAAGACAATTGCCCATGTTGGGACAAATCAGAGGGCAATAAAAAGAGCTGTTTCAGTGCTTCGGTCCAAACGTTTTCTTCAGTTTGTAAGAATGGATTATAGAAAGGTTGATGCAACACAACAAGTAACTTAATTATGTCCGTGTGACTTTGCGATGAATAGTAGGGAATGTTATCCATCACGATCATTGAACAAACGGCCAGTGAAGCGTATGTAACCTGAGGGGAAACATATGTACGAGCTTGCAATAGTCGACGTCGCGTCGGCTGCGCTATAAAAATGTGTACACATAGTTGTTACACTAATCAAACAGATAAATTGATTCCGATACACTTACAGATGTGTCAGAGTCTATGAGCCCTCTTATCTCGATTCAGAATTGGCCCATTGCGGCGCAACCATGTGGTTTCCTTTATTTAACGCTTGAACAAATTGCTTTCTCTGCTCAATATATTTGATTAATCTTCGTCCATAACATGATAAAAATGCTCCTAATAGTTGTAACCCTGGGTTATATAATGTGATATATATATATATATATATATATATATATAGTGTGTGTTTATATATATACAACGAGTGCTGTCAACTGTCTGTATACACGTGTGGTGTCCTGTCTCGTAAACAGTGTATGTGACGTCATCAGTTCGGAATGCATGAACATTCTGACTGAATTGTATTTACGACGTAGACCTTGGACCTGCCCCTTGTACGAATAAAGCACCCTATACTCCCGCCACTATATTCTGGCTACTGGGTAGACACTTACTGCCCAGTGGTCATTCTTACAATCTGACTCGTGAGAGACGGATCACATTACTGATAGAGCCGAGCAATTGATTATATAGAGGGCGTACGGGTACATTGCCGCCAGCATGTATTAGCAGGCTAGGAACACCATACCCGGTTTCGCGGAGATTATAAAGAACAGAGATATACTTGAAACAACTTGTCCGAGTTATTGTATAAAACTGAGCAACCGGTGACATAGTGTTTCATGAATTTACACTGATTTTTTTCAATAGACTTCTTTTGCAGATCTATACGTCGTATGGTCATTAAATTCTAACAGTGTACATGTGAAGCTGTATACTGTAAGGCTATTACTGATTTTGTTATTACCATGACTGTTGAGAAAATCCTGTTATCTGATTGATGGAGACAAATTGTTTAGTTTACTCTGTCACATTCGCTTTAACATTGAGATGCGCGTACGTTATGTTTCAGTCGCCATGCTTTTGCATTGCATTCATCTCCCATGTAGATCCCGCAGCTACTGTTTAGTACTCGCCTGTGATTATTTTGCTTATTATTGACATTCGGTATAAATAAATGAATACTACATTCAGTCGAGAATGACAGTGGTTAGGGTCACCCCACGGATATTATTGTGATACCCTCTGTGTGACCTTAAGTACTGTCACACTATTATTTATTTAGTAAGTCACAGGTTTAAATCACAGTGTGTTGATTTAGACAGGAGTTAATATAACTAAAGTACTATTATATGGTTATTACAATAATGACGCTTACATCTTTCCGTAGTCTCAGGATTGAGTGTAGGGGATATTCAAAAGTCCTTATTACAAAAGAATGTTATAGGCTTTGTTCATTTTCTGGCGAAACTTATAAACTCTGTATGCCACGCCCAAACACATAAGTTCGCGTATTTCTATGTGAGTGAACTCGCTGTAAATGCATGTTATATTAATTTCATTATTTCGAAAAAGAGGACAATAACCCATGCCACTTATATGGCCTGATTGCCTCTTGTTTAAAATATACAATTATTTAAGGATTATGTGGCCGGATGTGGTCGTAATATCATGATGTCGTGCGTTATGTCTGCAATAGATATGAAATTCATTATAGATATTTTTATTTTAATAACAATTCTTTTAATATCGCACGTGTCATGCAGTTATTGTGGGTTTTATGCAATGAACACATGTAGTACATCGAATATGCGTACTGTATGGCGCATTTTGGTGAACCATTTCTGAATAAAAAACGATTTTATACAGGATTGAAATAGAAATTTGATACTAATCTCTTGACATATAGAATATGTACAGAAATAGAAACTACTCTGTTTGAAACATATTCCCATCAGTTGATCAATATTTGGTTGTTGACTTTCGTACAGAACCTGTTTGTGGCCAGATGGCATGATTCAGTACTTTTGATACTTTTACATTAAACAATAATAATAATAAAAAGGGCGATAGTGGAAAAGACTATCCAAAAAGTGGGCACATCACGTAAATCATCAACAGAAGTCGTTTATGCTAGAAAGATATAAAAGTTTAAGTGTTGAACTTTGATGGTACCAGAGTTTTATCTTGTTTATCCAGAAACAATTTAACACAAAATTGAAATGTCATTTTTTAAGCAGATTTACGTGTAAATGGTAAAGGGATACTGCATATGGTCAATGCTCATATCGTTTTAAATGAAATTGTAAATGTTATTAAGTAGTGCAAGCAAAATCAGATGCTCCTATTGAAGTCTCTACTGCACATAGAGAGAGGAAATTGTTGAACATCGGTGTTAGGGGCGCTGCAGTCACATTTTCCATCCAGGTGAAGTTTAAGCGTTGTCTTAATAAGTACTTTATTTAAATTAATTGATTTACAAATTTATCGTTGGCCGATTTTAACTGTCTATGCATCATCTCCTTTATACAAACTGTCAAAAGTATGTAAATATAGTTAATACTGAGATGATTTTATTGCTTTCACTTATCCTGGTAATCAGTATGAAAGCAAAATAAAATTACAAATCGAGTTTGCTTTGTTTTTCATTTTAAAGTAAGATGTATAAAACAAAGATGAATAACAAAATTAAAGGACCTACCTAAGACTTGAACTTCACACAATTCCAGAACAGCATCGTTACTATACCAGTCGTGTCGTTTTGGTTCCTCTCTGTGATTGTAGACAGTCACATACTGAGCTACGTATGGACACAGGTGAGTCGGGTTTAAGTTTACGTCTTCAGACAAACTACTGTTATCCTTATAACAAAGAATGCCTTGCGGCGTGGGGTCGGTGGAGTTTGACACGTATACTGAGTATCCACCAAATCGGTATCCACTACCTGCTGTAAGATAAATGCGCTATATATGTAAATAATTAATTTTCTGTTGAAATTCAAAAGGTGTATACATTAATTGATTGTTATTTAAATCAAGACAAACACTCAGTGACAACTGAAGGATTTTTAGTAAAGTCATGGCATTTGACATAAATTAATCAGCAGTTGAAAGAGTTCAGATCGTCTGCAATTTTTTGTGTATCAAAATCTGTCAATTATGAATTCCGTTAACGACTTCCAGAATTGAAAACAAAGCGTATGTGATCTTTATTCCTTATTTCCTCATGTTGAGCGTCAAGTAAAGCTTATTTACAGTTATAATGAAAGTAGCTAACATGAATTTATTAGTTAAACATATGTGCACTACCAAACAGCAATATCAACTCACATCTGTAGTATATCGTTATGTATTGTATTGTTTTTATCTGCATTAAATCCACACGCCACCAGGCTTGTTTGTATACTCCGGCTGCTGTGTGAACACAGCAATTTTGTGTGATATCTTGGTTAACGCAATTGTCTTTAGCCTTTCCTGCTGTCCATCTCTCGTCTTGGTTCGACGATTGTTGTGCAATTCCCGTCAAAGCGATATTCTCTGAAGTTACAAATATAGTTTAGAAATACCCAGTTGCATCTATATTTCGTTTACAATGCCGACACAATCTAATTTGAAATTGTCTGATACTTCTATGGTGTGTTAGTTAAAATTCGATGAAGTAAGATTAGCGCTTTTGGACCTGAGGAGTCAATTTAGCTCAACCAGGTATAGAATTTGAAAGAAAAGTATCTAAACTTATTTAAAGGAAGGGAACCCAAAAACTATGATAATGATGTACTTCTTGTAGTTGTGACGACCTAAAGAATACCGTACAGGTTAAGAGCCGGATTGGAAGAAAAAGTTAAAGAATTACATGATGCTGATATCATAGAGCCGGTCGAAGTGCTAAGTAGCTAGATATTCCCAGTCGTGGTGGTGCTCAAACCTAATGGAGATGTTAGCTTATGCGTGGTAAAATCAGCTGTAGTCATGAAAATGTATCAAATGCCTCAGGACGATGGAGTACATCAAGGATTAAATGGTATTCAAGTGTTTAGCAAACATGGCAAAGTCAAATCTAGATGAAAAAATAACGTTCATCACTTTCAAAGGTGTATTTAAGTAATAATTAACATCTGTGCGTCTGTTATGGTGGAATACCTAACGAAGGTGAGAAATTGTTGGAAACTATAATTAATGAAGGCCGCTTGTGGCCAGAGCTAATTACTGTTCCAACATTTTCGAATCCCGAGTTATATATTCCGCCATAATATACAAATATATGTGATCTATTCTACAAAGTAATGTGAAATGATTTTTGTGTGTGTCTATCTTACTGTCAACAGGTGGCCTAGATAATCTAATTATTGGTATGTACGGTTAAATTCGCGCACTTACGTTTGTCACTTTATGCCCATATGCCAAGCTGCGCGTTTGTATCACTTCTGACCATGTGCGCATTTGTCCTAGTATGTGTTTTTAACACTGACGTGATGCTTATTTCAATCAATCATATCCATCAATTTATCGACATCGTTTGGCAACATATGAAGGCATTTAACAGATTTACAGACACTATTCTAAGTCACCTTTGCGGTAAGTTCAGGGGGATTCATTCTGACCGTGAAGTCACTGGAGGATGACGACACTCGAAATCAGTATAATCAAACGGTTTACCTGTATTTAACAGGGTTAAACCCTTAACTAATGACACTCAAAATACTTTGTACGACACAAGGGAATCGGGTGCACAGCGAAATTCATCCCCCGCGAATATGTACTGATTACGAAATCGCGAAATATTGACCCCGTGCATTTAAAGCGCTATACAGTAGCTAAAATTTGAGCTGGTCACAGATCACAAAGCACTTCAGTACATATTCACAGACAAATCCAAACACAGTGTACACGTCAAACGATGGGTATTGAGATTACAACCTTATACATATGTACCTATATAATGAGACATGTGGCTGGTCCTAAGAATATAGCAGATTCCCTATCAAGGTTATTCAGAAAGACCAAGGGAAACATTCCAATTATACTAAAACTGAGGAGCATGAACAATTTGAGCTGGAAACGAACATACCGACAATAATGACAATCCAGGAGATTCAAGAGGAATCCCAAAATCTCAAAAACAAGGTTTTCAAAGATGATTTTTGTTGTATAATGAATGTTGTTTTTCGAGGAATTATATTTTGTGTTAAATCTTTCTAATAATTTAGGAGTTTTTTTAATGATTTAAGTGTTTACAAAAAGAGAAGTAGTATTGAACTCCACATAATGATATACATAAAAATGTTTGCAATATCAAGTTAGTTCAACTCAAACTTTGATAACAGTCATAATTAACATTTCATCAGCAAACTGTTCTAAAAGCTACTTAATGTTTGCTAGACAACAGTAAGTGTGGATTGCGTATTGTTTTGTTTCGTTAGAAGGTTTTTAATACCAATAATGATGCATAATAAGATAACCTCTGCTTTGCAAAAAGGAGGAAATGAAATGATGTGCAAGGATCTTTAAAGTTAAGTGTATCTGACATGCGCAGTAAGTGTGTAAATAAAACATGTGAAATCTTTAATGGTGATGATTGTACTTCGTATATGTTGTTAAATCTATCTTTCTCTAACGGTAAACACTTAAATAAACAACATACAAAGTAGGCAAGGCAGTAGACTCTGTTAGTGTTTGTTTTAGTATCCGAGGTTTTCCGTGACTTTGCATTTAACTGATGGCCACAGCTATTTCTTTTGAGATGGCTGTATAGGGTGTAACGTCCTATTACCAGCTAAGGTACTTTCAGGGCGTTATCGTTTGAGTACTGGCATGGTTTATAATATACACCTTTTATTACCTTTTATATTGTAACTATCCAGTACCCCTCTAAGTTTTGAAATTAGCAAATAAAGGAGTTTTATGCATCTCCTTTCTTTTGTTTCAACAGTAGTTTAGTCTAACTTGGATTTCCAATACTTTGGCCCTAAGTATCATCGATGAGTCCTATAAATACATGGTATGACGTGTAGTGTAATTTGCTTTTGGTATACACTATCTACTACAAAGGTTTAAAGGTGCAATCACATGTATGTCTAATGCGTTCATCTTTATTTGTAGGGTCATATATATCGAAGCAACGGTTATATGTAAACTCTACACTCAGGTATGAAGTTATGCTTCTACAGTACAAAGGGAGAGTAATTATTGTTAAATTAAGCTCTTCATGTTAATAACAGCGTTAGATAGTCAATGGAATATCTACTTGTATATAAAAAAACTAACTATGCTTAAATAGGATTAACATAGAAAATTGTAAGCTTGTTCATCAAATTAACTGCCTTTATCACTCATGCAAACTCGGTAATACATCGTGTTAGTCATCAAACTATAAACTTTTAAAATATCGATTACTGTATCTACCACCAAATCGTATAGGTACAAAAATTACGTTCATCGTTCTTATTTCATGAAATTGTATATGTATCATTAAAAAGAAAATAATTGAGTTACTTAAAAACGTACGTTCTGATCTTGAAACTGGTACAATGAACAACAGAGTTAGTAAGATCTCCCAGCTTCGTAAGTTTTGTCTGGTCGACATGACAGTCTGCTGTTTGTTACACACGTTAGTGGGGTAGACAGCCAGGAAGTGTTATTTCAATGATAGTCTCCCTGTTGTGGACATTACTCTTGTCAGCTGACATGAACAAGCGCTTTTCATTTGACAAAAAAAGAGGAAAAACCAGTTTACACTACTGCCAGTATTGTATTGAAACTTCTTGCTACTGGCGTCTGACATACTTTCTTCAAATAAAAGAAAATGGTGAAATTCAATCTTTAAATGAATAATCATATAATATCACGGACATTTAAATATGCTCGAGGAGTGCGTTTTATTTGAAAAACTACAAACCACGAACCAGATATCGTACTTACACTACT